CCCCCCCCCCCCCCCCCCCCGCCCCACTCCCCCAAGCCCCTCTGACCTCTCTTCCTTTAAAGGATTTGACTTGATGACTAGTCAGTATGCTCATGCTCAGCAAAGAGCGCAATATCCCAGCCTTTATCTAAAACTGTGCTGCTTATTATTAATTAATGGGTCGAAAACCATCGTGAGAAGACAAAAAGAACTCTATGTAGTTCATCGTATCTAATGACTAAACAGCCACAGCAGCTTATCAAAGACGCGCCTGTTTCATAGTGTCTGCCACTATTTACCTGAACTGATATAAAGCTGCATGAAAAAGATCATCGATTATTGGGCCAAAATTTCATTTGGCTCTCTGTTGTTCTTGCTCATTCACATAAATAATGCTAGAGATTTTGTACTCGATATGAATGAGGTGTGTTAAAAGAGTTCAGATTGCACATGGCTTTTAAGGATTTCGGACTTTACACATTTCGTAATAGTTTGTCAAAATGTTTTGGAAATTTTAGAGATATAAACAGTGACCAGGAGACTGGAGGAAAAAAGAGGGCTTAAAATTATCTATGTATTAACATACCCAGTTGATTTAGAACAGCAAGCCCATAATGGACAGAAACTATAGCACGTTCTTGCAAGAAGTTGGTTTAGCACGGCACGTTCTTGCACGAAGCGTACATGGTGGAAGCTCTAAATAAGAAAGTGAAAATCAGAAACCCGTCTAGAACGAGTTATCTGCTCCAGTGTTTTGATAGCTTTTGAAGCATTTGAGCAAAGTAGTACTCTGAAACCATTTTTATATGTTTTGTGCTGTAACAGCTGCACAAAACGCATGCTGTTAAGACCCTGTTTGTGTATGAGACCGAGTGCGTTTCTCCCGGGTTTTCAAGTCAAGAGCTGGGAAGGCTGGCATGCTAAAATTTTAGGACTATGTTCCTTGCTTATGTGCGATCCTTAAAATTCAAGTTCAGCCTTTAAGTGCGCCTAAGTCTCATTTGTCGGCACGTGAAAGTTTTAGCGCAAAAATAGTCAGCAGAGTGTCAGAAAAACAAAAAAGTTGCAGTTTCCGGAAGATTTTCCTGCCTATGTGCAGTCATAAAACTGAGCTCCCAAATACGTCTAGATGTATTGGAGAGAAATTCCACTGTCTCTCGGGGAACTGAAAAAGATGGAAAACTGGAAGTTTAAAATGATGCTTCCTGTTAATATGCAGTACTGGAATTTCAAATTCAAGTTTCGTTTCCGCTAATTTCTCATGTAAGGACACGTAAATTTTCATGTTGAAGTTTTTAGCTCAGAAATCAGAAAAAATAGTTAAAGTTGTGGGAGGGTGTTTTCTGTTAATGTGCAGTTTTACAAACTTAAATTTAACCTCCACGCATGCCTATATTCACGTACGGACACGTGAAATTCTTGGCAAGAAATTTCACAGCCTAGGAACCGGACAACGTGTCGAACATTTTTATACAAGCCAAAATGTTAAATACTGAAAATTCCTAACAGCAAACACACGCAGGACAGAACTGCGCGAGACGCATGATCGCACTGACTATCCCGATGCGCGCCGCTCTTTATTAACTGCTCAGCCCTAGAAACTCGAAACTCATACTAATGCTACCAGTTAAATTTGGCAGTGTCATATTTTTCAAAATATTGAAAATTCTCGAGAAACTTGTGTGTTAAAGTAAAAGCATTAGCAAATACAAGCTGAAGATTTCTAGCTCAAGAGGGAAGGACTTGGGCGTGTGGATGAGTGACTGCTAAATTTTTCAGCACGACAAAAATCGGAATAACTAGGACGAACAAACTTTGTGAGCTGACAAGCAAGTCACACAATGAGCAAGAAATCTTCCATGAACCAGAACTCAGCTTTAACCGGAAATGATTTAGTCGCAAGTTTTCAGGTAGCAGATGCCTACATAGCATCCGAGGATGCCTACTATTTTCAACGATCGCCGCATGCATTTGATGCTGTATTTCAGTATTACGCGACCGGTGTTATACATAGGCCGCCGGAAATTTGCCCTGCAGCCTTTTTGTCCGAGCTTGAATTTTGGCGAATTTCCTACCAACATGTTGGTTCATGCTGCGCTGACATAGTGCCCAAAGATCGAATTGATGAGAAGGACGAGGAAAAGGTGAGGTGAATCTGGTATTTCTTCCTTTTTATCCGGAAAATCTGATGGCTTTTCAGGTTGATAATAAAACTTTCGACAATCTGATGTTTGGACACGTGAGGAGGCGGATGTGGACATTTTTAGAGAGGCCTGGCTCATCGATGCAAGCCAAAGCATTTGAATTGTCTTCAACTTTATTTGTTGCTATTTCTGTAATGGGTTTAAGCTTTGGGACTATTCCAGACTTTCAGGTTTGTGCTCTTCGATTTTCGCCTCCTTTTTTAACATCAAAAACCAGAACTGAAGTGGCATCTATAAGTCAGAAGTGTCAGTGCACACATTCGTCTAATTCACTAAATAGGTCTAGCTGAAATACTTCCTACGTCCTGTGCTTAAAGTTGTTCATTCTTTCAAGCAGAAGTGTAGTCAAAGGCTAATTTTCTTGCTCTCTAAACGACGCGCCTCAAATTTTCGTATAGAATTTCTCAAAGACGTTTTTTCCCGCTATCGCTTGCTAACTGATAAATATTTCCCTAAAAAATAAGGAATGTTTCCTCGATCTATTCTCATGTCTCAAAGTTTGCGAGACGTATCTCAACGTCCAGAATTTCTCAAAGATGTTTTTCCCCGTCATCGCTTGTTGAGCATTTTGCAAGGAAATGAGTTGCAGGTGACGCATTATTTGCCGGCTCACAATGAGACAGTACTATTGCCGAATGGTACGGTAACTGTGATTGAAAAAGTTGAAGAAATGCGGGTCGAGCATCCTGGCTTCGTTTTCACCGAACGCATTTGTATAGCATTTTTTACTGTGGAATACTGTCTGCGATTATTCGCTGCTCCAAAGAAATTTCGTTTCGCACTCAAACCTCTCAATTTGGTGGATCTGATGGCGATTGTGCCCTTCTACCTGGAGCTACTTCTCACGCTGTGTGGTGTTGACGACAAGAAGCTGCGCGACCTCCGATGGGCCTTCCTCGTGGTGCGCATATTACGGGTGCTACGGGTAATACGGATTATCAAACTTGGCAGATTCAGCTCCGGGTTGCAAACATTTGGAATGACGCTACAGAGGAGTCAGAAACAGCTCCAGATGATGACTATCGTATTGCTCACTGGTGTCGTCTTTTTCTCCACAATGATTTATTTTTTGGAGAAGGATGAAGAAGGAACTCCGTTCACCAGTATTCCCGCGGCCTATTGGTGGTGTATGTTTTGGCATATCTTACAAATTCGGAAACACTTATGTTCACATACCCACAAACACATACACACACACACACGTTTGAGTGCCTAATGCTTACGTTCTGGGACTGTATTTGGAAAGACAAAGTTGCTTTTATCACTGTTTCTTTTTTGATACATCGCTTCAAATTAGAGGAGATCCTATGCGAAATCAGCGGATTATAAGGGAGACAGGAGAAGGCAAAAGTCACTTTTTTCGCATTGACGTTCGGTAGGATTCATGAGGAGAAAAGAAAATCCAGGCTGGAACGCACCAGGCGAGCCGGTGCGATCATGCGTTTTTGCACCAAACTTGAAGTAATTA